GGCGCCACCTATTTTCTAGAACTATCCTGTACCTTGGTGAATGCTCTAGTATTTACTAGATATAGGGTAGTCTGGTATATAAAAGAGGGTGACAACGTGACGGGATAACAATGTGTGTGTAGGTAATGAGTAATTGAACTGCAGTCAGAGAGAAACGTATTGTTGATGTAGAGCTCGTGAGACATGAACTAGCGTTTGTTATAGCGCGAATGTTGAAAATAAGTGTATCGTAAAGTTGTATTCGGAAAGAATAAACCAGTTTTATTAAGTAAGGACTTGTGTCGCTAAAGTTTCGTCGGAACGAAGTTACGGAAAGTTAATTAACTAACGGAGACGTAACAAATTGGTGTCAGAGAGTGGGACGGTGTCAGAGAGTGGGATAGAAAAAAAAATGGAAACCCGAAGCGGCAAATCAAACTACAGCCTAGCAGACTTGATGGCTGCAATACAAGAGCAGCAAAAGAAACAAGAAGAACGAGAAGAGAAATTACAACAGTTGTTAGAGGAAAAAGAAAAGAAACAAGAAGAACGAGAAATTAAACAAGAAGAGAAATTACGGCAGTTGTTTGAGGAAAAAGAAAAGAAACAAGAAGAACGAGAAGAGAAATTACAGCAGTGGTTGGAGGAAAAAGAAAAGAAACAAGAAGAGAAATTACAGCAATTGTTGGAGGAAAAAGAAAAGAAACAAGAAGAGAAATTACAGCAGTGGTTGGAGGAAAAAGAAAAGAAACAAGAAGAGAGATTACAGCAGTTGTTGGAGGAGAAAGAAAATAAACAAGAAGAGATTAAAGCAGTTGTTGGAGGAAAAAGAAAATAAACAAGAAGAACGAGAAAAGAAACAAGAAGAGAGATTACAGCAGTGGCAACTTGAACAACAAAGGAAACAGAAAGAAAGTCAGCAGCAACTACAGGAAAATCAACAACAATGGCAAGAGGTACAAATGGAAAACATCAGTAAATTTAAAAGCGAATTAGATACATTAAAGAATGATTTGTTGTGTGTTACACAAGGAGGATACATTGACCATCGACTTAATCAGCCCCAGACAATGGCAAGCCCTTACAGAGCCCGCAGCTAAACCCTAATGCAGACATATTCAGTCCCGTTAGAAGTAACATCCCAGATATGAATGTCAGTAATAGGAGTGATCCAGTGCGAAGGAAGCCACAGGAATTAGATCGGAAGGCACCGTGGGATGCATATAGAGCACAGTTTGAGTTACTGGCAGAGATGAATGGATGGACAGAGGAGCAGAAAGCTGTATATCTGGCAACAAGCTTGAAGGGACAACCACTGGAAATACTTGGACAGTTGACAGCAGCTGACAGACACAACTATAGAGCACTGGTAGAGGCTCTGGAACTCAGGTACGGAACCCAGAATCAGTCAGAAGTCTACAGGGCCAGGTTCAGGACGAGAGTCCGTGTTAATGGGGAGAGCCTGCAAGAGCTGGCACAGGACTTGGAGAGCATGGCACACAAAGCCTACCCAACTGCACCACCCGATCTCCTCAAGTTGTTGCTGAGAGATCAGTTTGTAGATGCCTTGGACAGTCCACAACTTAAGATACAAGTGAAGCAAGCACACCCCTCTACCATGCAGGATGCAATGGCCA